TTTTAGATTTGCAAATTTTCATATTTTTTAGCTTCAGTTTCATTTTAAAATTTTTTGGTTTTTCGATTTTCCAACTTTTGGATGTTTCACTTTTTAGATTTTGCCATTTTGATTTGCAGCTTCACGACTTTTCGATTTTTAATTTTTGAATTTTTCGATTTTTCAATTTTTTCTGTCTTCAGTTTTTCGTTTTTGCTTTTCCTTATTGTTTCAATTTTTGGTTTGCAATTTTTTAGTTCTAGGTGTAATAATATTTATTATAATTTTTAAAATGTTTCCATTTTTCGATTTTAAAATTAAAAATTGAAAAAGTGCTAAATCGGAAAAACTACGTACGTATTGAATTACCGAAAATTAAAGAAATCGGGTAATTGGAAATCCAAAAATTGCAAAATTTAAAAATCAGAAAATTGACGAATTGAAAAAACTGAAAACTGAATAAACGAAAAACTGTAAAATTGAAAGAAACATTGAAAAAATGAAAAATTGTTATATAACGCCGAGAAAATGAAAATGAAAACACAAGAGATGACGTCATCACTTTTCGAGACGGATACACAATCAATAAAAAGCGTTTCGAGTGCGAACTTAATCGGACGATGGATAGTGGAAGGTTTTCGGAGATAATGGAGTGGGTGTTTGGAAAGTTTGTACAAGTTGAGCAATATTTTTGAATTGTTAATCAATTGTTGGATCAGTGCAGGCGTTGACTTTGCCGCCTTGTTCAAATTGAAGTATAATCTAACTGTCAAAGTAATGTCACATTTCAACAAATGAGCGCCCGCCGTGTAGTAAATACCGTTGTAGCAATGAAACATATCCAGCATTTTCGAGTTGAGTTTTTACTTTATAGAGTTTTGTGATGACCTCAGCAACATTTTTCCAAGGACACTTATATGAACTTGGATTGGTGCAGTGTAGTACTTGCTAAGATAAGACTGATTTTGGCAAATTACATACCTTCCAATAAAGAGAGGGCGGGTGGGTGGGGCTAGTACTTGCTAATATACGAGTGATTTTGGCAAATGACATACCTTCCAGGCTAAAAATAATTCGTATCTTGGCAAGTACTAGCCCCGCCCACCCGCCCTCTCTTTTCTTGGAACGTATGTTATATGCCAAAATTTTTTCATTAGCAAGTTTTCGGTTTTTAATTTTTCGTTTCAATTTTTGATTTACAATTTTTGTAGTTTCAATTTTAAATACGTACAGTACATATAACAATATTTTTTTAAATCTTGAATTTTTCCATTTTTGGATTATTTGATTTTAAAACTTTTCCATTTATTCCACTTCTCCATTTTTCGAATCATAATTTTTCAATGTTCTGATTTTATTTTGTTTTTTCAATCTCAACTTCATTTTTTCGATTTGCAAATTTTCATTTTTAAATTTTTCGAGTTTTCAAGTTTAAATTTTTCAGTTTTTCAATTTTTCTACTTTTGAATTTTTCCATCTTTCGATTTAAATTTCCGGAGTTTTTAATCTTTAGTTTCGGTTTTTTATTTTCTTATATTTTTCAATGTTCCAGTTTTATAATTTTTTGTTTTTTCGTGTCAATTTTTCGTTTCTTCAATTCTTCGATTTGAAATTTTTCATTTTTAAGTTTTTCGACTTTTCAAGTTTAAATTTTTCAGTTTTTCAGTTTTCCAACTTTTGAGTTTTTCAATTTTTGGATTTTTCAATGTTTCGATGTTTTAATTTTTTGCTTTTCCATGTTCAATTTTTCGCTTCTCTAATTTTTCTATTTCCAATTTTTCATTTTTAAATTTTTCAGTTTTTCGATTTTCCTACTTTTGGATATTTCTATTTTTCGTTTCGGTTTTGTATTTTCTTCTTTCTTTCAATGGGAAATTTTTCAATTTTTCTATTAGCGATTTTTCGGTTTTTAATTTTCTCAAATTTTTTATTTACAATTTTTCTAGTTTTCGTTTTAAATATGTATGAAATGACAATATTTTTTCAATTTTTCACTTATTCCTTTCTTAAAATTTTGAATAGGCAGTTTTTCATTCTGTTTGTCGATTTTCCTACTTTCGAATGTTTCAATTTTTCGGTTTTTAATTTTTCGTTTGTCAAATTTTTGATTCACAATTTTTCTAGTTTTCATTTTAAATATGTATAAAATGACAATATTTGTTTTAAATTTTTCGCTTTTTCAATTCTACGATATCTAATTTTGAATTTTTCGATTTTTAATTTTTTAATTTTTCCTGTCTCGAAATTTTCGCTATTCAGGTTTTCGTTTCGGTTTTTTTTTGTTTTCTTTATTTTTTCAATTTCAACTTCAATATTTAGATTTGCAAATTTTCATATTTTTTAGCTTCGAGTTTCATTTTAAAATTTTTTAGTTTTTCGATTTTCCAACTTTTGGATGTTTCACTTTTTAGATTTTGCCATTTTGATTTGCAGCTTCACGACTTTTCGATTTTTAATTTTTGAATTTTTCGATTTTTCAATTTTTTCTGTCTTCAGTTTTTCGTTTTTGCTTTTCCGTATTATTTCAATTTTAGATTTGCAATTTTTTAGTTCTAGGTGTAATAATATTTATTATAATTTTTAAAATGTTTCCATTTTTCGATTTTAAAATTAAAAATTAAAAAAGTGCTAAATCGGAAAAACCACGTACGTATTGAATTACCGAAAATTAAAGAAATCTGGTAATTGGAAATCCAAAAATTGCAAAATTTAAAAATCAGAAAATTGACGAATTGAAAAAACTAAAAACTGAATAAACGAAAAACTGTAAAATTGAAAGAAACATTGAAAAAATGAAAAATTGTGATATAACGCCTAGAAAATGAAAATGAAAACACAATAGATGACGTCATCACTTTTTGAGACGGATACACAATCAATAAAAAGCGTTTCGAGTGCGAACTTAATCGGACGATGGATAGTGAAGGTTTTCGGAGATAATGGTGTGGGTGTTTGGAAAGTTTGTACGAGTTGAGCAATATTTTTGAATTGTTAATCAATTGTTGGATCAGTGTAGGCGTTGACTTTGCCGCCTTGTTCAAATTGAAGTAGAATCTAACTGTCAAACTAATGTCACATTTCAACCAATGAGCGCCCGCCGTGTAGTAAATACCGTTGTGGCAATGAGCGGCAAACAAAAAAATTGGTCGAAAGTACAATGAAACATTTCCAGCATTTTCGAGTTGAGTTTTTACTTTACACAGTTTTGTGATGACCTCAGCAACATTTTTGCAAGAACAAATATATAAACTCGGATTTGTAGTGTAGTACTTGCTAAGATAAGACTGATTGCGGTAAATTACATACCTTCCAATAAAGAGAGGGCGGGTGGGCGGGGCTAGTACTTGCTAAGATACGAGTGATTTTGGCAAATAACATACCTTTCAGGGTAAAAATCATTCGTCTCTTAGCAAGTACTAGCCCCGCCCACCCGCCCTCTCTTTTCTTGGAAAGTATGTTACATGCCAAAATTTTTCTATTAGCAAGTTTTCGGTTTTTAATTTTTCGTTTCAATTTTTGGTTTACAATTTTTGTAGTTTCTATTTTAAATATGTATAATACATATAACAATATTTTTTAAAATCTTGACTTTTTCCATTTTTGGATGATTTGATTTTAAAACTTTTCCATTTATTCCACTTCTCCATTTTTCGAATTTTAATTTTTCAATGTTCTGATTTTATTTTGTTTTTTCAATCTCAACTTCATTTTTTCGATTTGCAAATTTTCATTTTTAAATTTTTCGAGTTTTCAAGTTTAAATTTTTCAGTTTTTCAATTTTTCAACTTTTGAATTTTTCCTTCTTTCGATTTAAATTTCCTGAGTTTTTAATCTTTAGTTTCGGTTTTTTATTTTCTTATTTTTTTTCAATGTTTCAGTTTTATAATTTTTTGTTTTTTCGCGTCAATTTTTCGTTTCTTCAATTCTTCGATTTGCAATTTTTCATTTTTAAGTTTTTCGACTTTTCAAGTTTAAATTTTTCAGTTTTTCAACTTTTGAGTTTTTCAATTTTTGGATTTAAGTTCCCCGAGTTTTAGATTTTTCAATGTTTCGACGTTTTAATTTTTTGTTTTTCCATGTTCAATTTTTCGCTTCTCTAATTTTTCTCTTTGCAATTTTTCATTTTTAAATTTTTCAGTTTTTCGATTTTCCTACTTTTGGATGTTTCAATTTTTCGTTTCGGTTTTGCGTTTTCTTTATTTTTTCAATTTGTCGGTTTTTAATTTTTCGTTTGTCAAATTTTTGATTCACAATTTTTCTAGTTTTCATTTTAAATATGTATAAAATGACAATATTTGTTTTAAATTTTTCACTTTTTCAATTCTACAATATCTGATTTTAAATTTTTCGATTTTTAATTTTTTAATTTTTCCTGTCTTGAAATTTTGGCCTGCAGGTTTTCGTTTCGGTTTTTTTGTTTTCTTTATTTTTTCAATTTCAACTTTAATTTTTAGATTTTCAAATTTTCATATTTTTAGCTTCGAGTTTTCATTTTAAAATGAAGGGGTGGGCGGGCGGGGCTAAAACTTGCTAAAATTGGACTGGACAATATTAAGAGTAGTCACCGGAACAAAGGGGTGGGTGGGCGGGGCTATTGCTTTCTCATAAAACTAGAAAAAAGCTAAATTTAGCCCCGCTCACCTCCTATCTTCATTTCACTGACTTATTTGATTTAGTGTAAAATGGAAAATGACAGAAAAATTGACTCATTCATTAATTTTTTTAAGCCACTCAAGCCAAATCTAAAAATATGAATGCAATGATAAATCAAGTAAAAACTCATCATATTTTGCACATTTTGGGTAGAATTTATTCAGCAAAATTTTGAGGTGACGTCATCACATTATTGGTGGGAATGACTAGACGAATTTTGGCTAGCGTTTTAGCATCTACATGATATTCGTGATATAAATACAAAATTTGACAATTCGGACAGACAGACGGCGGAAACGGGAGACCAATTTCTTCGTACTCTAGGGGTCATGAAAGGTCGAAAAAACGTAAAGTAATTGTAATTCCAGGCCCCACGGAAGTCGACATCATGACCAGGACGTCCATCCTGGTTTTTGAAGTTCTAGAAAAAGTTTGGGCGTCCAGGAATTGCGCCCTCATAGATATGAAAATAGAATTCGGGGTGGATAATTCCGGTAAGTAAACCGCTGACATTAATTAATCATGCAGTATCAGAATAGTAGAATTTTTTGTCTCCAATCGGTTATAAATTACAGCGAATACTACAAAGTTCACCGGATTATCATGTTATTGGATGTTTTTTTTTTTTAATCAAGAAAAACATTGTTGTCTTCACAAACGCAAAACAATAGATAAATTGCATCAAATCAGACCATCATCTGAATAATCAGTTCACATAAACACGTTTTGCAACTTGTTTTCAGACTACGGGAATAAAAACCGGATTTAGTACAAAGTTGTAACCTTAATTATTTTCGCATTGGAGTACATGAAAGCCGCATTTTAGGACTAATTACATTTTCAAACCCTTTTAATGACCTACCTCATCATAATTAATAAATACTTAACAGGTGAACTCCTAGTGGCTGACGTCATCGATTCGGATAGTTGGCGCTTGTGGCCCTCCGGCGACAAACGCCTCATGGTAGACAAGCAAGTCTACCGCAACCTCACCACAGTGACCGCCTCCGACCTAGACACAGTCAAGCGCAACTTTGAATGGGTGGTAAACCAACTGGACCACCTGGACCCGCCGAACGACCACCTAGTGGTCATCCTCATGGGTAGCCCCTCCGACAAGGAGCACTGTCTCAACATCCAAGCTCACTGCGAAAAATTGGGACTCAATACAGAACTCCGAGTGACGTCTGCTCACAAAGGCACCGAAGAAACGATTAAAATCGTCAGATATTATGAATCTCTTCCAGTGAAGGTGATTTTCATTGCCGTAGCCGGGCGAAGCAACGGCTTGGGGCCCGTGATATCCGGAAACTCGCCCCTACCGGTTATAAACTGCCCCCCTGTCAAAAGCGACAACGTGGAGAGGGATGTTTGGTCCAGCTTGAACGTGCCCTCAGGGTTGGGTTGCAGTACGGTGCTGTATCCAGAGGCGGCGGCCTTGAATGCGGCCAACATTGTAGGGTTGTCGAATTATGTGGTGTGGTGCAAGCTGAGGGTGAAGCAGTTGGAGAATTATGTGGGGTTAGCGAAGGCGGATAAGAAGTTGAGGCACGATTAAGGGTTTAATAAATGATTTGTTATATATGTACTGTGTTTTATTTTCTTAATTCTACTAAATCATAGATTAATACAGATGCGACATACAGGCTGATTTTGCAAAACCACCCTTATTGACATTGTTTCACTACAACTCGTCGCCTGAGAACTTGTTTGATCTACAGACCAGAGCGCGCTCAGGCCAATGTCGACTCTAAGCGTTCAGAAGCGATTTGGTTGGTTTGGACTATAATTTCTGCAGGAAATCGTTGTTTGGTCGGTTTTTATAACAACTAAGTGAATATTTTTGGTACATATTTAGATGATTTTACATATTTTGTTTAACTAAGAATTAATTCTTTATTTGTTTTATACTAGCAAAACGTCTTAAACTAAGAATATTGTTGAAATCGTAATTAACCCAATGAATTTTTAAATGTTTTTAGTGACAATTTTTGTGGTTGTTTTCGATACACTGTATGATATTAACAGTGAGAAAAAAAAATGTTTTTCATTTCCTTTATTTTTTGTTGTTTTTTTTTTCAATTTTTCTTCAAATTTTCAAGTTTGATTTTCACTTTTTACATTTTTCAAGTTTTTATTATACACTTTTTCGTTTTTTCAATATTACACTTTCTTATTTTTCCATTTTTCACATTCTCGATTTTTTATTTTTCCCTTTTTCAATTTTTCAACTCCCCGATTTTTATTTTCCGTTTTCCTGATTTTTTATTTTTCATTTTCTCGATTTTATATCACAATTTTTTGTTTTTTCATTTCCTTAATTTTTGTTGATTCGTACGATTTTCCAATTTTTCGTTTATTCAATTTTTCAAATTTTCAGGCCAATCGATTCCAAATCGTCGATTTTCCAATTTGTAAATTTTTCAGTTTGCAGTTTTTGGGTTTCCACCCCTTTTTTACTTTTTGGATTTTCAATTTTTCGTTAAACTTTAGAATTTTCAAATTTTCGACAGTTTTATACTTCGATTTCTCAATTTTTTTTCAACTTTTCGATGTTTTAATTTTTCTTTTTAAAAATTTTTCAATTTTTGTTATTTCTCGATTTATTGAATTCAGATGTTTGGATGTTTTTATTGTTCAGTTTCTCAATTTTTTTCTATTTCTCCATGTCTCGATTTTTAGATTTCTCGGTTTTTCGATGTTTCGATTTTTCTGTTATCCGATTTTTCAATTTTTTTAAATTCTGGTGTTTCGATTTGTCGATTTTTGAGTTTTTCGATTTTTAAGTTTTAGATTTTCGAATTTTTCTTTTTTGATTCTTTGATGTTTGGATTTCTCCATTTTCCCGTTTCTCGAATTCGCAGTTTCGATTTTTGGATTTTTCGGTTGGCTAATTTTTTAATTACTCAATTTTGGATATTTGTTCAAGTTTTGGGATTTTTCAATATTTCAATTTTTCGACTTTTCGATTTTTAATTTTTTGGATTTTCAGTTTTTCGTTTTTTAAACTTTAGATTTTTAAATTTTCGACTATTTTGTATATATTTCGATTTCTGAATTTTTTGAGTTTTCAGTTCTTGTATATGTTAATTCTTCTTTTTTCCGATTTTTTTATTTTTCGATTTTCCAGTTTTAAAATTTTTCAGTTTGCAGTTTTTGGGTTTCCACCCCTTTTTTACTTTTTGGATTTTCAATTTTTTTTCAACATTTCGATGTTTTAATTTTTCTTTTTAAAAATTTTTCAATTTTTTTTATTTCTCGATTTATTGAATTCAGATGTTTGGATGTTTTTATTGTTCAGTTTCTCAATTTTTTTTTTCTATTTCTCCATGTCTCGATTTTTGGATTTCTCGGTTTTTCGATGTTTCGATTTTTCTGTTATCCGATTTTTCAATTTTTTTAAATTCTGGAGTTTCGATTTGTCGATTTTTGAGTTTTTCGATTTTTAAGTTTTAGATTTTCGAATTTTTCTTTTTTTAAACTTTAGATTTTTAAATTTTCGACTATTTTATATATATTTCGATCTCTGAATTTTTCGAGTTTTCAGTTCTTGTATATATTAATTCTTCTTTTTTCCGATTTTTTTATTTTTCGATTTTCCAATTTTTAAATTTTTCAGTTTGCAGTTTTTGGGTTTCCACCCCTTTTTTACTTTTTGGATTTTCAATTTTTTTTCAACTTTTCGATGTTTTAATTTTTCTTTTTAAAAATTTTTCAATTTTTTTTATTTCTCGATTTATTGAATTCAGATGTTTGGATGTTTTTATTGTTCAGTTTCTCAATTTTTTTTTCTATTTCTCCATGTCTCGATTTTTGGATTTCTCGGTTTTTCGATGTTTCGATTTTTCAATTTTTTTTAATTCTGGGGTTTCGATTTGTCGATTTTTGAGTTTTTCGATTTTTAAGTTTTAGATTTTCGAATTTTTCTTTTTTGATTCTTTGATGTTTGGATTTCTCCATTTTCCCGTTTCTCGAATTCGCAGTTTCGATTTTTGGATTTTTCGGTTGGCTAATTTTTTAATTACTCAATTTTGGATATTTGTTTGAGTTTTGGGATTTTTCAATATTTCTATTTTTCGACTTTTCGATTTTTAATTTTTTGGATTTTCAGTTTTTCGTTTTTTAAACTTTAGATTTTTAAATTTTCGACTATTTTGTATATATTTCGATTTCTGAATTTTTCGAGTTTTCAGTTCTTGTATATGTTAATTCTTCTTTTTTCCGATTTTTTTATTTTTCGATTTTCCAATGTTTAAATTTTCAGTTTGCAGTTTTTGGGTTTCCACCCCTTTTTTACTTTTTGGATTTTCAATTTTTTTTCAACTTTTCGATGTTTTCATTTTTCTTTTTAAAAATTTTTCAATTTTTTTTATTTCTCGATTTATTGAATTCAGATATTTGGATGTTTTTATTGTTCGGTTTCTCATTTTTTTTTTCTATTTCTCCATGTCTCGATTTTTGGATTTCTCGGTTTTTTGATGTTTCGATTTTTCTGTTATCCGATTTTTCAATTTTTTTAAATTCTGGGGTTTCGATTTGTCGATTTTTAAGTTTTAGATTTTCGGATTTTTCTTTTTTGATTCTTTGATGTTTGGATTTCTCCATTTTCCCGTTTCTCGAATTCGCAGTTTCGATTTTGGATTTTTCGGTTGGCTAATTTTTTAATTACTCAATTTTGGATATTTGTTTGAGTTTTGGGATTTTTCAATATTTCTATTTTTCGACTTTTCGATTTTTAATTTTTTGGATTTTCAGTTTTTCGTTTTTTAAACTTTAAATTTTTAAATTTTCGACTATTTTGTATATATTTCGATTTCTGAATTTTTCGAGTTTTCAGTTCTTGTATATGTTAATTCTTCTTTTTTCCGATTTTTTTATTTTTCGATTTTCCAATTTTTAAATTTTTCAGTTTGCAGTTTTTGGGTTTCCACCCCTTTTTTAGTTTTTGGATTTTCAATTTTTTTTCAACTTTTCGATGTTTTAATTTTTCTTTTTAAAAATTTTTCAATTTTTTTTATTTCTCGATTTATTGAATTCAGATGTTTGGATGTTTTTATTGTTCAGTTTCTCAAATTTTTTTCTATTTCTCCATGTCTTGATTTTTGGATTTCTCGGTTTTTCGATGTTTCGATTTTTCTGTTATCCGATTTTTCAATTTTTTTAAATTCTGGGGTTTCGATTTGTCGATTTTTAAGTTTTAGATTTTCGGATTTTTCTTTTTTGATTCTTTGATGTTTGGATTTCTCCATTTTCCCGTTTCTCGAATTCGCAGTTTCGATTTTGGATTTTTCGGTTGGCTAATTTTTTAATTACTCAATTTTGGATATTTGTTTGAGTTTTGGGATTTTTCAATATTTCTATTTTTCGACTTTTCGATTTTTAATTTTTTGGATTTTCAGTTTTTCGTTTTTTAAACTTTAGATTTTTAAATTTTCGACTATTTTGTATATATTTCGATTTCTGAATTTTTCGAGTTTTCAGTTCTTGTATATGTTAATTCTTCTTTTTTCCGATTTTTTTATTTTTCGATTTTCCAATTTTTAAATTTTTCAGTTTGCAGTTTTTGGGTTTCCACCCCTTTTTTACTTTTTGGATTTTCAATTTTTTTTCAACTTTTCGATGTTTTAATTTTTCTTTTTAAAAATTTTTCAATTTTTTTTATTTCTCGATTTATTGAATTCAGATGTTTGGATGTTTTTATTGTTCAGTTTCTCATTTTTTTTTTCTATTTCTCCATGTCTCGATTTTTGGATTTCTCGGTTTTTCGATGTTTCGATTTTTTTGTTATCCGATTTTTCAATTTTTTTAAATTCTGGGGTTTCGATTTGTCGATTTTTGAGTTTTTCGATTTTTAAGTTTTAGATTTTCGAATTTTTCTTTTTTGATTCTTTGATGTTTGGATTTCTCCATTTTCCCGTTTCTCGAATTCGCAGTTTCTTCTTTTTTCCGATTTTTCAATTTTTTGAGAACTCGATTTATCGAGATTCGGATGTTTCGATGTTTTGATTGTCTCAGTTTTTGAATTTTTCAGTGTTTCGATTTTTCGATTTATGGGTTTTATCGAAATCGAAAAATCAAAAATAGTCCAGTCACTTTAGCATAAAAAAGGGCTCAACCTCGGAATGAGAGATAATAAGCTGAATTTTTGTATATACCTTAATTTTGGCATTCTAAAAGTTGTCTCAAAAGTTTCATAAAATCTCGTGTCTGCGTCGTAAGTTACTCAAGGTCAAAAGTCAAAATTAAGACTATTAAGAGTTTTACTGTAGTGCATGATCAAAAAAAATCGTAAGAAATGTACAGCTGCTGAATAAAGATAAAATTAAAATATATTAACTCGTTTTACTTTCTTAAAATTTACTTTAAATAAATTAATATAACTTTAACAATTATAATAGTATAACAAGTGTAATATATTATCTAATATATCTACTAGACTTACACGTTTTAAAGATAAAGTACTTAATTATTTTTCTACTTAAAATCTACTTTCAGTAAATTAAGATATACATTAAGTATTCCATTTAAAGAGTTTTAAATTACACAAAGTAGGTAAGTATTATTAAATGAAAATATTGAACACC